ATTCCTATACTTAATCACCTTCCATGAACCTCCACATACCCCTCCCCCGTTCCACGCCTAGTCGTACAGGTCTTCCGACATCTCTCGAGTCGCATCGGCAGACACTCCGCCGGGCACCGCGAAGCCTTCATGGTAGAACTTGTTCGTCGGAAGCACCTGATCGGGTTTAGGGTTTAGGGCCGTTTAGGGCCGTTTAGGGTGCAGGATTTCGACCCGCACGCCCGCACAAGGCACAGGTCTTCGGTTGCTTCTTGGTCCGAGGTGATACAACGACATTTATTTCAATGGCGTGTCTTTAGGGTTTATGGTTTTAGGGTTGCTGGCTCTTGCGGCGGGCTCTCGTCGGCATCAGATGAAGAAGCAATGGCTGTAGGTATGCAACAACCAACACACTCACATGAGCCATGATCAGCAATACCAACTCACTGATGGGCCCAACGGACACCAAGCAACCACCGACAGACTGCCTCTTGAGGGGAGTTGCTTCTCAAGGGGCTCGACCTTGACACCCTAGGGTGGCACCCTTGGCATTAGGGACCCTTTTTTAAGATCCCTAAGGTAGTATAAGGGCCATACTAGGAGTATATTAAGGGGAACCTTTCGGGGTACAACCTTACGGGTACGAGTCTTCGTCCCGTGAGCTTCTACGGCTTCGGGATCCCAAGGCCCCTTTTTGAACCCCAACTCTGTGCCAAGGTCATCTGTGGAGCCATGCCCACACGAAACATAGATCCCCTAAACCCTAAACCCTAAACCCTCAACCCGCTCACAGAGATGCCAAGGCTCCCGTGGCTCTTGAAAGCACATCGGGCAGAGGTCATTGCGGATTCCGCTGGACCTGCCATACTGTTCAGGGTTTAGGGTAAGCCCTAAGCCCATAGGGCTTAGGGCTTAGCGTTAGGCTCGAAAGAAGAGCCCTCAGACCCTAAACCCATTAAGGTTTAGGGTTCAGGGTTCAGGGTTTAGGATCCTTCAATGTTACCATCGACTGGGGTTTCCGGCCTTGTGGGTTGCGGGGGATGCAGGACATAGTTCTTGGCATGCTGTATCCCTAAGAAAAATTCAACAGACCCCAAACTCATACCCCTTTACCTATCAAAAGGAGAGCTTAAGAAAGGATTTTACCATAACCCTTTTTTTCTTTTAAGGGTATGCCCACGGGGTATGTTGAATATTTCGAGGATGTGAGCAGCGTCTTGAAGCCTCTGTCGCCTCGCTCTCGGGAATTTAGGGTTAGGGTTTAGGGTTTTTGTGCCACCCGCTTAGCAGCAGGGTTTAGGGTTTAGGGTTTAGGGTTTAGGGTTTAGGGTTTAGGGTTTAGGGTTTAGGGTTCCCTCAAAGCGCTTGAATGCTCGATGGGGATGGAGGTGCGACTCCCAACTTGTACTTTCAGCTTCTGGGCATTTAGTATCTTCGGCACCGAGGCCCTACCTAGAGAACCCAAAGCCCATAAACTCTGCATGCTCTCTACTCTCCTCAACAAGGGATTTCAGTAGGGAAATTTTAGGTATAACCCTGAACAAAGCTAGCCCTAAACCCTAAACCCTAAACCCTAAACCCTAAACCCTAAACCCTAAACCCTAAACCCTAAACCCTAAACCCTAAACCCTAAACCCTAAACCCTAAACCCTAAACCCTGAACCGTAGCTGCGTGCCGCCTGCACCACATAATCAGGTTGTGCCGGCGCCCCTGGGTGATCGGCTGGGCCTTGTGGAGCTCCTGAGCCAATCTTAAGAGACAATCGGGGGGTTATAGGGTTTTTTGGAGTTGTTTCATGTACATTGCTTGTTTAGAGGGGTAATGGGGGGTCTGGACTTTTTTAGTAGTTTTTTGCTTTGTTTTTTGTTTTTTTTTTTTGGGGGGGGGGGGGGGGGGGGGGGGGGGGGGGGGGGGGGGGGTTGTGGGATTTGTAGGGTTTGCAATGCTCGTGGGCCTTAAGGCCATGAGCCGGCAACCGAAAAGCAACGGCTTTTAGGGTTTAGGGTTTAGGGCCCATTCAGATCTCTAGCACGTGCCCGTTCAGATCTCTTTGAACCCCCTGCTCTCAAAGCAAAACTGCACCACGTCTCCATCCTAAAGCCCGCCTACATCTCGAAGACCAAGCTTCCATGAATACATCCCCAATTATCTGTACTTCCCTTAGAACCTCACTTAAACAATATCTTTGATATTCCTTTGGTTTATATAAATAAAGCAATAATTCCTAGGGGAAATATAGCTACAGCCACCTGGAACTCTCGCAAAGCCTTTGGCAAACCCTCAACAGCCCTGAAGCTCCAGCCTACCAAAAAAGCCCAGAAACCGAAAAGCCCAGAAACCGAATTAAAGCCACTGAAAGGAAAACAAAAGCCGTTTAACTTTATGCTCAAAAAACAAAAGCCCGTTTAACTTGATAAGCTTTCATTCAAGAGAGACCCCCTTTTAAAACGATAAACAAAATAAGCCCTAGACCCTAAACCCTGCAGGAGGGCGGTCCAGGCCCGCATGCAGGACACCGTGCCCGCGTTTGAGAGAGACCTCCAGCAGAGGCTTTCTGAGAGGGTCTGGAGGCGTTGGCTTTCACTGGTGGTTTAGGGTTTAGGGTTAGGGTTTAGGATTTAGGGTTTATAGGGTTTGGGGTTTGGGGTTTAGGGTTATTCTGCGCATTTTTAATAGGGGTTCTAATAAGGGGGGGGGGGGGCTATAATCCCTATGAAGGACTGTAAGTATAAGGGGGAACATCACAAGCTTTCACCCAGCAGTAGGTTTGCGGTTTGAAGGGCCAAGGCATGTTGTTAGGGATGTTTAGGGATTAGGGTTTCTTCTTGCAGTGTGCCGAAAACTTAGCAAAAGATGAACGGAGCTAACTGGGGACTGTCATTGGGACGAGGGCTTTGGGAAGGATCACTTGGCAGGAACTGCGGATGAATTGGGCTTAGGCCGTGCCGGAGAGAAGCGAAAGGGAAGCAAAGGGACGGGTAGGACAGCAGTTCTTCAGCTAGTATACGAACGCAGTGCATCGTACTGAGGCACCTAAACCCGAAACCCGAAACCCTAAACCCTAAACCCGAAACCCTAAACCCGAAACCCGAAACCCTAAACCCTAAACCCTAAACCCTAAACCCTAAACCAGTCTTTTGACCTCGGGTTGGACCTCGAGAGCCTCGGTCTCCTCCCGAGTGGCCAAGCCATAGAACGCCACTTGGCCACCTGACAGTGGAGCAAAGGTAGGGTTTAGGGTTTAGGGTTTAGGGTTTAGGGTTTAGGGTTTAGGGTTTAGGGTTTAGGGTTTAGGGTTTAGGGTTTAGGGTTTAGGGTTTAGGGTTTAGGGTTTAGGGTTTAGGGTTTAGCTTTTTGGGTCCCCCTGTCTAGCACGGCACCCCTAAAGCAAGGATCCCCAAAGAAGGGGCCCTAACTTAGAGAAATGTCCATTTGCTGGAACCACCCTAGTGGCCAGTACCAACAGTGTCGATTCAATAGGGGTCTCCATTGGGATGTTCCCCCTTATACTAACAGCTCCTTAATAGGGATTGTCATAGGGGGTACCATAATCCCTATGAAGGACTGCTAGTCTCAGGGGGAATGTCCCAAGGTCTACACCTTACCCCTTCAAAAGATGCCTGTTTCAAGAGCAGGTGCTCACTCTACTGAACTTGGAACCCTCGCAAAAATCAACTGAATTTCTTAGGTATTAGGAATCAGAGTACCTAAAAATAAACAATAAACATAATAATAATATTAATAATAATAATAATTCCCAAGAATTCCTGAGTTCAGGTGCCTTCCCAAGTTCCGCCGATGTTCACGTTCAAGGTGACCTCGGCGTTGTCGTAGTGCATGGCTAACCTTGGACCATGCGGAGCACGGAAACGAAAAAAGCTTGCGTTGCGATTCAGCTGGCCCAGCGCTTAACAGCCTATGCAAGGACGGCCCCTCAAATTTTGAAGTAGGCATACAGCCCTTGCCACAATTGTGAGCCCTAGTTCTGCCAAGCCTGTTTGCCAACTGCGTTGAAGTGCGGATGCTCTGCAAGCTCTCCCTGTTTCTTTCTAGAAGCTATGGGGAGGGTGCGAGATGCACACCCCCAGCCAAGTCTTAGCGACCTGACCCGGGTAAGGCACAGGTTCGTTGCTCCCTACTCTCGAGTAGCAATCCCGGTCGCCCAACTCGCCCACCCTCACACACGTCGAGTTGCCGCGGTGCTCTACGAGCCTGATCTGCGATCAGGCTGGACCTCCCTTGCCTAGAAGCCAAAAACCGAAAACCTGTTCGCACATTCAACACCGCTCTCAATCTGTCTCTCGCTGTCTCGCCCTCTCTCTCTGTCTCTGTATCTATCAAGAAACATATATATATATATATAGTATACATAGATAAAAAGAGATATGTGTATGCAATGTATCATGCAATATGTATGTATATATATATATATACATACATATGTATGTATATATGTATCTATCTATATATATATATATGTATATATCTGCATATTAACACACACAGTTGCTATAGTTTGCTTGCATTGTCGCTCACTGTGCAGCCTCACGGGACTCCCGATCACCATCCTTCTCGGCGTCGTAGAGGACGGTAAATGCGCGGTAGGAGTCCAACCTGTTCCGAGATGCTGGAGTTTCGGGTTTAGTGTTTTGGGGTGTCGCAACTACACCAGTTCCAACGACTGTTGTCATTTTGACATATAAGGCTTCAGGTCTAGGGTACTTCTTCTTAACCGACATGAAGATTCAGATTTCCGACACCTGTTCGGAAGAATCGAACCAAGCGACGTCTCACAAAATGCCGGCAAGAGCTTCCTCGCAATGACATCCTTGGCAGGTCCAAGCATCATAAACGGCAGCAACTAAAGCTGGCCGAACTTAAAAAAACAAACGAAGGAAAGTGACAATTGGTCTTGCTTTTGGTTGGGGTAGCGGGGCTTGGGGACCAAATCGACCCCGAAATTGGGATCATATATCCTCTATACCATAACTCCAGGCTTTGATATGTTTACTTCTCACAATGATGGATCCCTTTGGGGGGTTACTATCTTAAGAGGCAAGGCGGCCCTACTATTTAGGGTTTAGGGTTCAGGCTTGGACCATGATTTTGAGAACTGTACGTACGGGCTGCGAGTTTAAATCTCAATGACTGCCGCTAGCCCCCCGCCACACTTTACACTAAACCCTAAACCCTAAACCCTAAACCCTAAACCCTAAACCCTAAACCCTAAACCCCTCTGCAGCACCGACCCGACCGAAGCCTTCGAACTCTAAACCCTTTTGAACTCAAAACCCTAACCCCTAAACCCTGCCAGAGCTCAGGGGCTTCAGTGCTCAAAGGGGGGCGGGGGGTTTAGGGTTTAGGGTTTAGGGTTTAGGGTTTAGGGTTTAGGGTTTAGGGTTTAGGCCTTCAGTGCTTAAAGGGGGGGGTGGGTGGAGTCCCAGGCACCACGTGCTGGAAGATGAAGGGGTCCAGCAGCTCTGCACAGAAGCCCAGTTCCGACATGATGATGCCGTAGCCTAGGAGTCGGTCGTTAACCTGCATAGGGTCTAGGGTTTAGGGTTTAGGGTTTAGGGGTTTAGGGGTTTAGGGCTTCGAGCTTGGGGTTTAGGCTTTAAGTTTCAAAACCCTAAGGTTCTCTAAGCCAAACCGGCTACAAGAGTTAGGGGTTTCAGAAGGTATCTTTGGTGAGCGCACGTCGAGTTCCTGAAGAATGTTGAGAGTGTCTGTGGGTTGTTCTTTCACCCTAAACCCTAATCCCTAAACCCTAAACCCTGAACCCGAATCTATCCGGAACCTCAGCTCCCGCGAAACTTTGGAGTTTTCCAAGGCTTAAGGGGGGTTTAGGTTTAGGGTTAAGGTTCAGGGACTGCGGACTACATGCTGATAGAGTTTTAAGAGTTGAGGGATTAAGGCTTGATACTGCCACATAGTCTCGATTCCGAAAAAACATCCTGCAGATTTCCCCAAACTATACTAAACCCTACTAAACGCTAAACCCTAAACCCTAGACCCTAAACCCAAAACCCAAAACCCTAAATCCTAAACCCTAAACCCAGATCCGGAAGTGCCCCGCTTCGCGCGACGGCCTGGACACGACGGTGTTGCGGTGCGCAAGCAGATCCTGGCGCCCCTAACGAGACCTGTATGGAACCCTGGGGCTAGCCCTAAACCCTTTTTTTTGCCCTAAACCCTAAACCCTAAACCCTAAACCCTAAACCCTAAACCCTAAACCCTAAACCCTAACCCTAAACCCTAAACCCTAAACCCTAAACCCTAAACCCTAAACCCTAAACCATTGCCGAGTTGCGATTCATGGTGTTGGGTGCCGAACGCGGCAAACCCGAGGACTGGAAGTGACCAAGCTCGGCCTCAAGATTTGGGGTTTGCGGTCTTTAAGGCTTGGTTAGGGTTTAGGGTTTAGGGTTTAGGGTTTAGGGTTTAGGGTTTAGGGTTTACGGTTTAGGGCTTAGGGTTTAGGGTTTAGGGTTTAGGGTTTAGGGATGTTTCCGGTTTAGGTACTGGCTATATTCTTCTCCTGAGAGCTTTATTGATGGGTGATTTGGTAGCTCGTTTTTTTTAGGATGCGGGGGTCTGTGCGTAGCTTTTTTTTTAATCTAGACGGCCCTCATTGTGAACTGTAAAGGTTCTTCGTCGAAGTCGGGGTCTAGGCACTTGAGAAACCCGAAGCCTACGCAGTTGTTTGTAGGCTCTGACTCTAAAGCCCCCGCTCGTAGATACACAAGTTCTTACCCTAAAGCCCCCTTGAAGGATTCTTAGATAAGCTCGTAGAAACACATGTTTTTTTTTGGGGGGGGTTTTAAGATCGGGGTCTTTTTCGACTCAGGGGTGTAGCTTGTGTTTTCCATGGTGGGGGGGTTAACGAAAAAAAGGTACTCCTAATAAAGCCCCCCAAAATACTAGGACTCCCTTATAGTAAGGAGCCCAAGAAGGTATCCCCCTATGTTCGGAAGCCTTTCCATGTCGGAACATGGAGGACTTGTGGAAGAAGCCCATGCTGTGATGTCAAGAGCATGTGCTTCTCTGGTGGTTGTACCTTGGACCCTGAAGGTTCTACCCTTGGGTTTTTGGGTGACCCTTCTTAAAGATCGTTAATGTTTAGGGGAATTTTAAGGTGAACAACCTTAGGGGAACGAGTCTTAATCCCTTGCCCTTCTGTGGTGTCCGCGCTAAACCCAAAAACGACGAAAGAACTCCACCTCACTGAAACTCTTCAAGTGTTAGAACTGGGCACCAGACTTGGTTTAGGGTTGGATGTAGGGTTTAGGGTTTCGACTCTCACACTCGCACACGGCCGGCAAGGCATCGGTTGGCAGGTTTAGGGTTTAGGTTTAGGGCTTAGGGTTTAGGGTTTCGGGTTTCTGGGTCTCGGGTTTCGGAAAGTTCCGGCACTTCCCCCAACCCCCACGCAGACCTCCAGCCGGTCGCAAAATGCTTCAGTGAAGACCGGGAAAGTCCAAAGCCCGGGCCGTAGCCTCGCACAGCTCTGCAGACTTCCCAAAAAAAAGAAGGGTTTAACCCTGATAAACCCTACAAGACCTATTTGAACACATAAACCCTGTAAAGCACTAAACTGTTTAAGCCCCTGGACCTTAGTACGGAATGAGGGAATGATGGCCCTATGTATACGCTTCTATAGGGCCCAAATTCTCTCCTTCCCTACTAACATCCATCATCCCCCCGAGCAATTTTTTACGAAGTTTGCTGGAGATTCTGATCCAAAGAACAGCCCCGAAGCTGCTCAGCTCTGCCTTAGGGGTTTAGGGTTTAGGGTTTAGGGTTTAGGGTCTACGCCAGGCCTGTGACTACTTTGGGTGGGAGTCCGATCCCAAATTGAAGGTGCTGCAACCTAACAGTTTGTAGGATTCGGGGCAGCAGGCAAAGTCTCAAACCCCAAAGAACCCGGATAACCCTATAAGAAGACATATACACCTTACAAGCCTTATAAACCCTATAAACCCTATAAACCCTTTTAACCCTAGAAACCCTATAACCCCTACGAAGCCTTAAACGATACCAAGGAGCTCCTGCAGGAGCTTCCGCGCCTTCAGCCGCCCGGCCGCACCAGCACCTGGCTTCCTCAGACCGCCCTTAGGGGGAGGGCTTAGTGTTCTTAAGGGAGGGGATTCAAGGGGGATTAGGGTTTAGGGTTTAGGGTGTAGGGTACCTAAGGGAGGGGGATTCAAGGGGGGTAGGTACCTAGGGATCCTTAGGTAGCCTTTGGGGGACGTGGGAAGTATAAGGGAACCTTGGGTTGCAAACCCCCCCCCCCCCTCCCTGAAGAACACCACAGTTTAGGGTTTAGGGTTTAGGGTTTAGGGTTGCAAAACCTGCCCCCTCCCTTAGTGTGGTGTTGAGGATTTGGGGTTGAAGGGTAATGGTTGGTGCTGAGAGTTTAAGGGCTTCAAGGCTACGCAGGATATGGGACCCCTAAACCCTAAACCCTAAACCGTTTCGAATCCCTAAAAAGAGTCGTGTAGAAGCTGTCACCGCACTGAAAAACCACAGCATAATTAACGTGCCATCTCCCAGGGTCGACTTCGAGGAGTACTTGTAATCATAGGGTTTAGGGTTTAGGGTTTAGGGACGCTCTAAACACCCGAGTCCAAAACCACCCGTTTCGCGGCAATCCGCGAAACCCACCGCGATTATGAGAAGTAGAGGCTAGCTAGCAGGCCATCAGCTGCTTAATTCCCTCATGGAAGAAGCCCAATTTTTGCAGCAGGCTTGCATGCAAGTGGGTCCTGGCTTACCCTAAGCCCTCAGACCAGAAGCCAGGAGTCGAACCGGCAATCTGACTCCGAAGCTTTTCCCTGAAAAGAAAACAGAACTTTAGACTTTTTGGGGGTTTAGGGCAAGGGTTTATGACTGGAGGGTTTTGGGACTTGAGATTTTTTACGGTGTAAGGCTTGCCAGCACAGTAGCTGCAGCTCCTCCACCATCTCTCGGAAGCCTTCCTCGGCTTCGCACGGAATTTCCGCGAGTGAAACGTGACCTTACGGTAGCAAGTTGGGCATCGATGTCCTTCGTGCGGCTGGTGCAGACTGGAGGTTTCGGTATGCATCCGTTGAGGCGGTCGCCATCAATGCTATACTGACCCTTACCCAGGTTCTTGCAACCAACATGGGGGTTTACGATTTTAGGGGTACCTTATTGGCATCCTTATTACAAAGGGGATCCTACTATTGGGGGTCTACATTCGAGAGGTCCCTTATGATCGTAAACCCTTCACATGACCTCCCCTTTAATTCGGCGGCGGGTCGTCCAAGAAGCTCGGGGCATCCAATCGGTACACCTCGGGGTGGAGGGGCTGATAGTCCTGGCGCAAATTGCAGGCTTCGACTGTCAACAATCACAAGGGTTTTCGGGGCTTTGTAGGGGAGAACGATCGGAATTACTCTAAACCCTAAACCCTAAGCGGCCCTTTTTGCTCTAAACCCTGAATCCCAAGAGAACGATCGGAATTCGGCCTGTCCCGAAAAAAAGTGTGGGAGGCGTAAACAGTGTGGGAGGCGTGCCAAGCTACCCGCCTCCTAGCATGGCTATCACCAGGCAACTCCTGGGGAAAAAAAAGTTCAAGAGGGACCCACTTCGCGGCATACCCCCTTCTGCAATCCCAATAGAAACCCTACATACACCTCATATAAACCCTATATAAAAAACCTATATAAACCCTACACAACTCCTATATAAATTCTATATAAACATTCTATAAACCACGATAAAGGCCCTGAGTGAAGCATCGCAATCGCCGCATCTGGGCCTGCGCGATACGGCTCGCTCGCTCTGCCGACTTTGCGGGCGCCTGGAGTCGCTCCTGTCATCGGGGAGTTGGTGTAGGTTTGGGGTTTGGGGTTTGGGGTCTGGGGTCTGGGGTCTGGGGTTTGGGGTTCAGGGTTTAAGGTTTGGGGTTTACTCGGCGCTATCTCTGAGTCTGAGCCGGGGTTTGGGGTTTAGGGTCTATGGTCTAAGGTTGGGGGGTTTAGGGTTCAGGGTGTGTATGCCCGAGAGTGCACTTTCTCTTAGTTGCTGAGCTCACAAGCCCCCCAAAACACGCAAAGTGTAAGGCGTACTCGTTAAGCTACTAAGTTCTTTGCAAGGCGCTGTTTGGGATGTTCCCCCTTATACGAACATTCCTTAAAAGGTATTCTAGTACCCCCTAGAATGATAATCCCGATTAAGGACTGTTAGTATAAGGGGGAACATCCCAAGATGGTATGTTCGAGGCTCATATGCTGACTGCCATGTGTTTTTTTATGTTTTGGTGTCCCCTGCTTCAGCTTGATCATAGTCGGAGGTATACATGGGGGTGGGGGACCCATTCTTGAAAACCTTGTGGAAACAGGATGGACTACAACGCCAGCTTAAACAGAGGAACACCTTGCTGGATGCCATCACTCTCGTGCCGGAAGCGTCTTGCTCAATCAAACCAGCCAGCTGCTGACTCCCCTGAAACCCTAAACCCTAAACGCTCATCTTGTACAAGGCCCACTCCTCCCTCTGGCGTCTCAGCTCTTCCAATATTGTCTGTGCCTGCCAACGAAAGCGAAAGAACATCGACATGTTCCTCAGCGTTGCGGGTTAAAGAGCTCCGGGGGAATAGGGTCAGCAGAATTCTGGACAGGCTGCGGCCGTTTCATGTGCGAGGTAACTCGAGATCAAGCCTACACTGAACTTGGAACCCTATAGTAAAATTTATATTTGTAGCTGTTTCTATTAGGAAATTACAGTGCCCAAAAACTGCAAAGTGTTCCCAAGAATCCTGAAGACGCTGCCTCAGCACCTAGATCCCTGTGGTTAATCTTATATACAGCACACAAAATTTCAAAAAACATACCCAAGAATCTCGAAGAAGCTGCCTCCGCACCTAGTTCCCTGGGGTTAATCTTATATACAGCGCTGCCTCAGCACCAAGTTCCCGAAGGTCATCACCAAACTCCTTCAGGAAGGCCGCGTCGTCGCCGCTGTAGGTGAAATGCCTGCGCCAGGTCAGGACTCTAGCGACTCTGGCCCCTTTGGGGGGGGGTTTAGGGTTTAGGGTTTAGGGTTGAGGGTTGAGGGTTGAGGCCATTTCGAGCACGACCTCGCTGCAAGAGCAGACCATGGTGCCCATGGACGACTGATCGAATCTGTACCCCCGAGTCCCGGATTTGAAGAGGGGCTCTCGAACAAAACTCGCGACGCAAAGTGCGTTTGGATTCGTTAATCAGAAAACCAATGACGGAAGCGGCTGGTGGTCTACAGGTGCTTCTTGCAGGTGCATGCAAGCATCCGCATGTTTTTCTGGAACGTAAGGTCGCACCTACGTGTCAGGACCCTTCCTACAAGTTGCTACGTCAACAGCAGTAGCCCTTCACTTTCAAACTACCTCCAACTACCTACGAGTAGAGAACAAAGCCGACTACACCAAACCGTCGTCGCGCCCCAACCGCTAGTCACTGTGGGCCCTGCAGGAGAACTGCAGCCACCACTCAGGTCATCCATGTACTTCCAAGCGCGAAGACTGAACACGCGAAAAATCTGGCGTTTGGGTCTCTCTGCGTCCAGGGGAATGAGTGCAGCCGAGACACCTCCCTACTGTGCGCACGAAGAAGTTGTGAGTCACTCGACATTCGCACATCCAATATCCTGAGCTGAACATGCTGAGGCCAATATGGGGGGGTTTCCAAAATTAGGGGGTTACCTTATCGGGGTCCTTATTATGAGGAATCCTATCTAGGCTGCCCAGAAACCTAGGCTTAAAAAGGGTGCCCTTTTTGCTTAAAGGGGTTTATAAGGGAACCTAAAGCCCCCAAAAAGGGAATAAGGGTACTACTGGGCATCCTAGTATTTGGGGGGGTCTTTTCTTGGGGTCCCCTATTTTGAGCAGGCTCAACGTTTGATAGGGAAGTCGACCCCCCACATCTCGCAGTGTGCTTTGAAATCGCACAGCTTGGAAGCTGGAAGAGTCCTAGAGCTGGCAAAGCCGATGGTGGGGGTTTAGGGTTTAGGGTGTGGTTATCTCGGTGGTAATCTCTCTCCTTCTCTCTCTCTCTCTCTCTCTCTCCCTCTCTCTCTCTCTCCCTCTCTCGCTCTCTTACTCGCTCTTGCTCCGACTATGCATAGCATTCTGATTTGTATGGATGCAGTATATTCTCTGACTTGTACACTGTTCACTACTCCCCCTTGTGTCTGACCCTTCCAACTATGCCTATATCCCCTGCCGGCAATGCCTTTCTTTCGAAACCACCGCGCAAGAGGGCCGTCTCAAGCTCTGCATACCCAAAGCAATCATATGTATTCTGTTATTCTGTTATGTACAACCCCAAGTTTATGGAGCGCGTTGGCAGAGCGAGCAGCAATCGCCAAAGGCCCTTTTGGAAAATGGTGCGCCTTCAAGCAAACAGCCATGCAGCTCTTGTCAGTAATAGGGTCATAATGGGAACCCCCAAGAACATAGTAGGAATATAGCGGGAATATACAAGGATCCTGAAGGTATATTCCTATCATATTCCTTCGACATTCTCGGGGTTCCCTGTGTGGGGCTTCCCCTTGAAGCCCCTTAAGTCATCTTAGGGTTTAGGGTTTAGGGTTTGGGTTTAGGGTTTAGGGTTTAGGGTTTAGGGTTTAGGGTTTAGGGTTTAGGGTTTAGGGTTTAGGGTTTAGGGTTTAGGGTTTAGGGTTTAGGGTTTAGGGTTTAGGGTCTAGGGTCTCTCAAGGCTTCTCAGAGAGAAGCTCCTTGGCCGCTGCCCTCTCGGCCTTCTCGTCCAAGGAGGGGAAGTAGGACTTCTGAGTCCCCTGCCGGTTTATGTCCAGGGTGTAGCCTTGGTAGCGTAACCATAGCAACACCCTTTTTTTTGGGGGGGGGTTTAGGGTTTAGGGTTTAGGGTTTAGGGTTTAGAGTTTAGGGTTTAGGGTTTAGGTTTTTTTTTTTGCCACCCGCTTAGCTGACCTCTCGGACACTCTGCAGGGAACTGGCGGTTAAATACTGGGTGTCAAAAACTGGGGCTTTCATCTAGGCTGAGTTCAAGTCAAACCCACCGAAACAAACAGCCAATGCAACCCAGTCAATCAGGGTTTAGGGTTTAGGCTTTAGGGTTACTTTATGAAAAAAGAAAAGGGTACCACTGGGCTACCGCTGGTAGCAGTTCAATGCTCCCCCGAAGGGGTAGCAGGCTGAAAACTCGATGGGGATGACATCCACACCTTCCTCGCCCAAGAGCTTGATGAGCTTCCTCTCGTTCCTTGTTCATTGTTGGAATAATATTAAAAATCTAAATGTATATTCCTTATTGAGTTTAATTAAGTACCCTTAAAAATGAAAAGTGGTACCTAACTATGCCAAAGGCTCTTTTCCACCATGCAGACTTTGGGCGCAATCGTGAGCACGTTGAGATGAATGCCCGGCGCGCACTGGTCAGCTGTGCACCTGCAGTCCTCGCGAACTCCTCCGTCCAAGATGGCCCACTCATTCTCTTTGAAAAGCTCAATCATCTCCTTAGCCGTCCAGCTATTCTAGGTTAACCTTTGGGATTGTATGGGGATCTGAGTATCCCCAAGAGGTTGTAAAGGTTCTCTACTCCCTAAACCCTAAACCCTCAACCCTCAACCCTAAACCCTAAACCCTAAACCCTAAACCTGAGTCTCGGGAGTTGGTCTGTCCATCGAGCAGAAGAAGCAGAGGCCCTCGTCCACCGGAGTCAGGCGGGCATCGATGTGAGAGAAGTGAAACCTGCTCACTGAACTTGGCACCCTAGCATGGGCTTAGGGCTCAGGGCCTGGGGCTTAGGGGCTTAGGGGCTTAGGGGCTTAGGGGCTTAGGGGCTTAGGGGCTTAGGGGCTTAGGGGCTTAGGGGCTTAGGGGCTTAGGGGCTTAGGGGCTTAATTTGGGGCTTAGGGGCTACTTCTCTAGCTGCTCCTTAGGAATTATTTAGTAGCCAAAGATGAAGAACATATGTCCAAGTACCCCTAATCAGGAATTACAGTAACCAACGATTGAAAACGATTTCCCAAGTACCCCTAAGCAACTGGCTTTCGAAATGGAAGTCCTGAACCCGAGTGCCTTGAGCAGCAAGCTCACGGCGGACCCATTCCTTCACTGAGCCCTAAACCCTAGCAAAAACTATACTTTTAGCTGTTTCCTAGGAATTATAGTAACCAATAAATAGTTTAAAAAAAGGTTCCCAAGTATCCCCAAGATTCTCGTCCTAAGTCATTAGCCGTGTGCGCGCTCTGGAAGAAGACGTCCTTGCCGAAACGTCGGGAGTCAGCGGCATCAAAGAAAATCTCCGTGTTCCTTCGTAGCCCAGTAGCCATGAACTAATATAAGGGTACCCCTTTTGCTAAAGTTGGCTGTTTGAAGAAGGGGAACCTTGAACCAAAAAAAAGGAAAGGGGTGCCACTGGGCGACCGAGGTTCCGAATTGTACGCTCCTCACCTAGGCTGGCCCCTTCTGAAACCCTCTGAAGAAATATTCCTAACTATGGGTCCTCTTAAACCCCATAAGGGAAAATATGTAACATTCGTAAATATGAAATATGGGTGCTCTTAAAACCACGAAGGGGAAATATGGAATATTCCTAGATATGGTCCTCTTAAACCCAATAAGGGCAAATGTATATAAGATATCCCTTAGATCAGGGCCTGCCCGAGTCACCGTCGCCCCCAAAGCTCTCATCCAAGAGCATGGGCTTTGGAGCGGCGGACCACCGCATCTTGGGATCAGACCGGTAGTAGCCTAGGATTTAGGGTTAGGGTTTAGGGTTTAGGGTTTAGGATTTAGGGTTTAGGATTTAGGGTTTAGGGTTTAGGGTATATTCCTGAATAGGATCCTCTCTTCAATCCAATAGAAGGGAAAAGATTTAAAATATCCCAAGGGCCTTGATTCCCTTACAAGGAAAGAAGGGGAAATATGAAATTGGCCCAAAAAAACAAAACACAACCCAGTAACTCAATAGGCTCCCTTTTCGAGGAAAGAAGGGAGAATATAAAATGATCCCAAAGCACAACCCAGCAGCTCATCAGCAAATCCCCATGAATAGGATCCCCCTAAACCCAGTAGGAGGGAAAATGCAAAAATGATCTAAACCCTAAACCCTAAACCCTAAACCCTAAACCCTAAACCCTAAACCCGAAACCCTAAGCCCCAAACCCCAAACCCTCAACCCTCAACCCTCAACCCTAAACGCTAAACCCTAAACCCTAAACCCAGCAGCTCATCAGCAGATCCCGCCATGCCAGGTGCTCGAAGAACCGGCTGCGCCAGCTCATGGGCGCCTCGATGACCTGCTTGCCGGCCACGAAGAACAGGTCGCCTTGGGTTTAGGGTTTAGGGTTTAGGGTTTAGGGTTTAGGGTTTGGGGGTTTGGGGGTTTAGGGTTTAGGGTTTAGGGTTTTAGGGTTGGGGGTTGGGGGTTGGGGGGCCTATGACAACTAAATCTTCTTATGGCTGTACAAGGATTATACAGGGGATTCATCAAGTTTTGTTATGGCTTTAGGAGGATTATCTAGGGGATACAGGGTGAAAAAAAGAGTTATGTTCACATCTAGCCCTGCCGCGTGGACATGTGAAACCACTCATCCTGTCGACAGACCACATGGGCGTCTGCACCGCCTCCTGCGTCTCGAAGGGCTCTGGTCGTTGTACGATGATGCCCTCTTGCTTCAAGACCTTCACCTAGGATGACAATCACAACCCTCTGAACAAGGTATTCCTTAGCAGAATCCTCTTCAAACTAAAATATCCCAAGGGCCTACCTGGTCACGTAGCCGTCCAATTGAATCTTTGCCTCGGCCAAACAGTCCGCATCTGTGGCGAAACCGTTCCTGAGGGGCCAGTTGTACTTCTGGTAGCATGCCACCTGGGATCGTATTAAACATGTAAATTTATATTCCTTAGTGGGTATCAGTACACTTAAAAATGCCCTAAACCCTAAACCCTAAACCCTAACTAAACCCGGAAATGTTACCCAACTATGACCAAAAGGACCTTTCGCGCCACCGCTGGCTCCTGCGGAGGCGTCAGGGACTTGTGCTCCAACGAGCCGACCCAAACTTCGCGAAGTGGATCCCACTCCGTCCAGCTCTCAACCAGACCCAAGCTCGCGCCCTTCTCCATTCTTGTAATTTTCTACCCGCACGGAAAAAGCGAGATTCTACCTACGTCCTTGAGAGCAAAACTCGTTCGAAGTGACCCTCCAAGAGGCTCTCATCTATGTGCCTGAGATTGACAGTGAGCCCTCAACCTCTCAATATTTGAACATCCAATGGGCCTTTAGCTAAACCTTTTTTTGTCCACTGGACTGAGGGCAAGCCTAAACCCTAAACCCTAAACCCTAAACCCGAAACCCTAAACCCTAAACCCTAAATCCTAAACCTCCAGCTTGCCCAAGGATCCGGTGTGCTCTGGCATCCCGACAGCCTCCCGCTGCCGACCCAGCGACGGGCCCATGTAGCTCGGAGGCGGGGATTTCGGGATTTCAGGGATTTCAAGGTTTTGGGTTCTCAAGTGATTTCCGGGATTTTCAGGGATTTTATAGTGTTTAGGGTTTCAGGGGTTTTCAGGGAGTTCAAGGCTTGCAGGGATGTTATGGCGTTTCGGGTTTTGGGGTTTTGAGGGTTGTCAGAGATATTATGGTGTTCAGGGTTGTTGGGGGATTTCGGGTTTTCAGGGTTTTCAGGGATTTCGGGTTTTCAAGGATTTCAGGTTTTCAAGCATTCTACTGTGTTTAGGGTCTTTTGGGGATTTCGGGTTTTCAGGGTTTTCAGGGATTTTGGGCGTTCGGGGTTTTCAGGGATTTTAGGGTGTTTAGGCTTCAGGGAGTTTAGGGTTTTCAGGGTGTTTCAGGGTTTTAAAGGTTGAGGGTTTTAAGGGTGTTTGGTTTTTGCTTAAAGGATTTTAGGGCTCTTAGGCTTTTTAGGCGAAGATGTTGGGTGTTTTTGAGGGGCAGGGAGGTGGTTGTCGCCTTTTCTTTCTGAAGTCGGCGGTGCGACTCATGGACATGCTTGGCCCAGTCGGCGAGAGTGCTTCAGGGACAAAGAGGCAAGAGCATCAGGGAAAAAAAAACAAGCAAGGGCTGTTTACTACCATTTGCTTATCAAGAACCACCCAAAAGGTATTATCCGTTACTTAATTATTAAGGCGGAAAAGGATTTTTTTCCGTTTTGAGGGGATTTTTAAGAAACTAGTAGTTTGCAAGCAAGGGAAAAGCAGCTAAGGAACCCACAGCCACCTCATCCTGTACCGATCCTCACCTCGCATCTCGAAGTTTGTCGCTGATACTAGCGCCTGAACTGTGTCACTATTTCTAGTGCTTTTTTTCGCTTCGTACTCACGTCACAGCACCATAAGTGCAGAAGAAGCAGGTACCTTCAGCTGAAGGTTTGAAACGGTTTAGGGTTTAGGGTTTAGGGTTTAGGGTTTAGGGTTTAGGGTTTAGGGTTTAGGGTTTAGGGTTTAGGGTTTAGGGTGTCAGAACTCTATCGGAACCCGCACCTTACGTCGCGTAGATCCACCAAGCAGAACGATTTCAAGACCTGCAAGCCAAGACAAGCACAGTTCTGGCTCCCCAATCCTACTTGGAGGTTTATGGTACTTATCAACCATTAGTAACTGCACTTATGACCCACTTATCAGCCCCTTAAGTGCCCTTATATATAGTTATATTTGGGTTATATGTCCAGTGAGTATTGGGTTAATAAGTACCCTGAACCTCCAAGTAATCGGAAACCACACCCGCAGAAAGTCCCTCTAAACTCTACACTGCATAGGCCCCTTTCAACTCCATCTGCATGATTTCTAAATTGAGTCTATCTAGCGCATCATCCGCATCGCCCTTGACGCCTTCTCGCGCATCCCCTCCTCATGGAATCCGTCGCTGCTGTAATTGGGAACTCTCAATCAAACACCCAGCCAACCTGCACCTGTTTTGGGGATGAAGACTTGGATCCCTAAGGACGTCCCCCTACATGCTTCCCTGAATATACTCCTCAGATGGCCCGTATATTCCCTTGGAGATCTTGAAAAAGTGCCCCCAAACCCACGAGCACACACAACCTTACGGGTTCGGGGCAAAATCCCATGAACCTTTTGTGCTCGTCTGCCGCTGCCAACTGCTCTCACTCCTTCTCTGGCAAAGCGCACGTGCCAGCATTCCTGACTGCTTTCTCTCCGGGGGTTTTAAGGCATCTCACTCCACAAGTCAATAAATTAGGGTTTAGGGTTTAGGGTTTAGGGTTTAGGGCTAAAGCACCTGCCTGTATGTCGGAAATGATGTGGCCATTGACACCATGCCTTATCAACCGTGTGCCTTCCTCTTATCATGCCTGCACACCGGAGTCATTTGGAGCTTGGGGTGTTTTAGCGTTTAGGATTTCGGGCTCAGGGTCCTTTGCAGAGGGCTGGATTTCAAGTGCTTGTGGCTTTTGCTGTACTCAGCGGAATTGAGGCGGAATTCCATGGGAGTCCGAACGGGAAGGGAGCAACGCAACCTCTCTGCAGAACCAAGGCACGTACACTTCGTGATGTCCTTAGCTCGTGCGGGCCAAACTTCTGAAATCTCTGTAGGGTTTAGGGTTTAGGGTTTCGGGTTTCGGGTTTAGGGTTTCGGCGTGATCTCTTTACTCTCTCTCTCTCCCTCTCACACTCTCTCCGGATAGCGAGTGCTGACTAGCTTGCGCGGTACTCGGCAAATCTTGTTACGCCCTCAACCCTAAACCCTCAACCCTCAACCCTCAACCCTAAACCCTTTTAAGCACGGACTGAGGCTGCCGGCAACACCTGAATGCAGGGCCTTCTTGCCTTTAGCAAGGGTCGCATCAACAGGCGAAACTGAGGGTGTCTATCACTGGGACGTATACACTATGGGAGTACTGAGTTTGCGTAAACCCTAAACCCTAAACCCTAAACCCTTTTTGCATCCAGGCCTCTTCGAATACTGCCAAACCCTAAACCCTAAAACCCTAAAACCCTAAACCCTAAACCCTAAACCCTAAACCCTCAACCCTCAACCCTAAACCCTAAAACCCTAAAACCCGATTCGAGAACTCTGAGGGCCACTCGGCTGTGGAGATCATGCAGGACATGCCTCGGCTCTCATGCAGCCTCTTTGGGTTTAGGGTTTAGGGTTTGGGGTTTGGGGTGAGGGTTTAGGGTTTGGGGTGAGGGTTTAGGGTTTGGGGTGAGGGTTTAGGGTTTAGGGTTTGGGGTGAGGGTTGAGGGTTCCAGGGCAGGGGTGTTAGGGCTTAGGGGTGTTAGGGTTTAGGGTTTTAGGGTTTAGGGTTTTAGGGTTTAACCCTGAACCCTAAACCCCAAACCCTAAACCCTAAACCCCAACCCCCAAACCCTAAACGCTAAACCCTAGACCCTAAACCCATTAGGCTTTTTTGGGGTTTTAGAGCTTTAGGTGCTAGAGCTGCTAGCGCGCTGCAACTCGAAGGCTTTGCAGAGCTCAGGGGTGTTTCCGGGGGCTGCCAGTAGGGTTTAGGGTTTAGGGTGGTTTTCTGCTGCACGGTTAGGGTTTCTGGGTTTAGCCCTGTAGCTCTAAACCCTAAACCCCACCTCAGAACCGAAGCACTTCACCCTTTTCACAAAAACTGGCCTTGGGTGCGAGTAAGATCTCAAGCACGTCACCCTAAACCCTAAACCCCTTCTCTGCAACTGGGCTTAGGGCGGATCCAAGCGTTAAACCCTAAACCTTATACTTGGAGGTTCATGGTACTTACTAACCAATTATGACTGGGCTTATAACCCTACTTATAATTGGGATAACCCCTAGAAGACTCTTTAGGGGTATTATAAGTAGGGTGATAAGTACAGTTATAATTGGTTAGTAAGTACCATGAACCTCCAAGTAGATCTTCAAACGAAAACACCCCAGGGAGAGCCGACAAGCCGCCAGACGTGCCGTCGCTCACGTAACCTCCGTTGCAGTTGTCCTTGGTGGGCTCCAAACCCCCCCCCCCCCCTAAAAGCTCCAAACCCCCCCCCCCTAAAAGGTTTTTTGGGTTTAGGGTTAAGGTTTAGGGTTTAGGGTTTAGTAATTTAGGCTTTCGGAGTTGTTCCCTCCTGCACAGCTGCGGCGAAACCACGTCGCAGGGAAGTCTCCGAGGCAAAACCACAACTTGCTTTTTGATGCACTCCATTCACAAGCCCATATCCAAACTAGCAATGGGAAGAGGGAAGGAAGAGTTTGTGAAGCTGGTTTAACTAGGGTTTAGGGAACCCAAAACCCATGAGTTCTTAGTACTCCCACTTTCCTTACATGGATTCAATCACCCTAAACCCTAAACCCTAAACCCTAAACCCTAAACCCTAAACCCTAAACCCTAAGAATTCATGGGTTTGGGGTTTCCAATAAGTCGTGCACAGCAGCTTGAGAGGGCCCTTGGGCTTCTGGATGTGGGTTCAGGGTTTAGGGTTTAGGGTTTAGGGTTTAGGGTTTAGGGTTTAGGGTTTAGGGTTTAGGGATGGAGTGTTCAGAACCTTTCAGAGCCTGTACAGTCGGCTCTTGACAGCATCAAAGTGGGGTGGACCCCCCCCTCCAGTGGGTGGGCCTTTGGGTTTTTGGGGGGGGGGGGGGGGGGGGGGGGGGGGGGGGGGGGGGTTCTCAACACCACGCAGCGGGAGAGGATAGTTTGTGAACCAAAAAGACCGCACCAAGCTCCCATGGAGCTCGTTTTCGTAAGGGAACTCAATTCTATGAACTCTGAGGTTCCCTATGCACCTTTGTAATACCTAAACCCTAAACCCTAAACCTAAAACTCTGCACGGTATCCTCCGCCCTTGCATGCGTAGGGTTTGGGGCAGAGAGTCCACTGGCTGCGCTGCGCAGGAGGAGCCGTGGAGTTCGACGCCAGTGCAGGGCAGGTAGCCTCAAGTCATCGTGGACTTGGGGTGGTTTGGGTTTAGGGTTTAGGGTTTAGGGTTTAGGGTTTATAGGGTTTATAGGGTTTAGGGCTTCGCGGTTTAGGGTGTAGGGTTCGGGACTTGGGGTTTCTTCGGAGCCAGGGGCAGTCACTAGTCTTGCACGCGCAAGATAATCGAACTCCATCCCTGAATGGAGATGTTCCTCTTACAAGAGCAACATTGGGAATTCAACACCTTGATGGCTGCCATGG